TCCAGCTGCTGTAAAGTCGCTGCCCCTCGCTTTAAAAACAGTCAGCTGATCCGTCGCGGTTTTGTTGCGCTCGTGACGTGAACACACAAGGGGAAATGCTGCAAAGTGCTTTAAGAAATATAATAAATATAAAATACAACGTAATCCTCGGTGGAAAATAGTCCAGGAGACCCGGGAGGTGTTCGCCTGCTGCTGCGTGAAGCTGACCCCCCACCCACAGAGAAAGGAAAAAAGGCAATAATTATTGATAAGGTAGTAACCATGCTGTGGCTTCACCTGTCGCATTTTCTTTTAAAGAAAGAAAAAGTAGCTTGCAAAGCTGTCGCATCAGTGCTACGTGCTTAGAAGCAGAGTTTTCATCGCACTCGCACACACGTCTTCCTATCTTTGTCAGGACCACACACAGCTCAGCCTCGCTCTGTGCCGTCTTTTTCCCCCCAAGTTTGGTGAGAGGTGGATATGGAGGGTCACAAAAAATAGCTCTCGACTTGATCTGGACTTATTTAAATAAAAATGACTACATGCCGTGAAATTCTAGGGGCGGGCTGTGTCGTTGGTGGGGGGGTGGGGGGGGGCTGTATAATGGTAGGGGAAACACTGAAAGATTACGGACCTCTCCGTTCTTTGTAGGGGGGACAACTTGCAATATCAGTAGTGTATCAAATACTTATTTTCTCCACTGTATCAGTCAAATGTGCAGCAGACTGAGGCTTAAGACAAGCTCTAGCAAACTTTTCTAAACACAAACATGTAAACCAAAAAGTGAGTTTGTAGCTGATTATTTTCATGTCTCAATAAGTAAAACCCTAGTGTTTAAAAAGTGAGGACATTCTTCTTCCCATGACTGTGAAATCTCCTGAAGGTGAAGCTGTTAATGATGACTGGATGTCAACTTACAGAAACAGGATGAAGGAAAAGTAAGCTGATCCAGGATCAGACGGGATGATCTTCCAGGAGGTAACAAGCTGAAGAAAGACAGAAAGAAGCTAACGATTAGAGGCAAAAATGACCTAAACAGTTCATTGTTAAAATAACTGTTATAATTTTAGACCATAAACACGTCAGATAATCTCATCTGTGTTCAACGAAACTAGAGATCAGTTGTAAAGGAGTATCAGCTCTGTCAGGAACACATGCCCCCTTCACTTTGCTGGACTGGACCAATAACAGAGCACCTCCCCATCTGAACGTCTGCACCCTCAGGGAACCATAAAATGAAGCATGGCATATTCAGAAAAACAGAGCAGCTGTGATCCTTTCACATGAAAATGAGCTTCAACTGAAGCAGCATCTCGTCGTCACTATTTATTTCTCTACTCTGCCTAATGTTGGGAAAATCAAGGTGCAGAACTTCATTATAGCTACAATGATTGTTTTTTTTTATTATAACATTTTTTGTTCCACTGTTGTACTAGAAAATTAGTCAAACAATTTGCACTTCACTTCTTTTCTTGTGTTGATTTAGCCAATACTTTTAGATTAAAATGACCTCAATGTAGAAGCTAACGTTTGTTAAACTCAAACCAACTGTTTTTTTCCTCAAATAAAATCTTTAAGATTAAACTGTAAGAATTAAACTATGTTTTCCTTTGTTAAATTAGATACTTAGAAAGAATATATTTTTTATTTATATATTCATTTTTAAAAATATTGTCAAGTTGAACTGTTTTTCATCATCGCAGTTCATTTAGGTAAATTTTAACTAATTGCTCAGCTATGATAGTTAAATTTTGCCAGTTAGAACAGTCAATAAGACAAAGTAGTAGTTTGCTTTGACATCTAACTTTAGACAATAATAAAAAGCTATCGTATGCCAACTAAGAATACTTTATTTAAATTATGGGACAAAGAACACAACAACACAATTTCTTTGTTCAATTAACAAGCACATTACATATTATATTCAGGATTTCCATCATATTTCTGTCAAAATATTCATCCCATCCATCCATCCATCCATTTTCTTCCGCCTATCCGGGGTCGGGTCGCGGGGGCAGCAGCTTCAGAAGGGAGGCCCAGACCTCTCTCTCCCCAGCCACTTCTTCCAGCTCCTCCG